GTTATAAGTGAATCCGTGATAAGTACAAAATGTCCGAGTTATTTAAAAAGTACCACGCGATACAATTACGCAAGTTCACCACAAGTTGCATAAGCGACGTGTGCAAGTTGGGAAAAGGTCATCAAGTACGCAGAACAAACCAAATAAAATGTAATGAATTTTATGCACATTAAAAAGACCCAGTTTAAGTGCAAGTTGGTTCAGCCCAACTGCAGTGAAGAAGCAGCACAAATGCAACATCAGCCTCAGCATATATATATATATATATATATATATATATATATATATAATGTTGATGTTGCATACATCATGCTTCTTCACCGTAGTTGGGCTGCACGGACTTACACTTAAACTAGACCCCCTTAATCTGGATAAAAACTAATCCACTTTATTTAGTTTGTTCAATTCTGTTATTCTGCAGCATTTTCTGTGTCAATTTTGCGTGTTTACTTTCCTTCAAATTCTGTGTTGGCTGTATGACATCCCTCTCATGGCTATGCTTGATGTGAATGCCGACAAGGTATCTAGCTGTCTAACACCCTCCACCTCGATTACTGACACCAGGAGACTGTTAATAATTCCTAAGAGGGGACAAGTTGCGACATCTTCCTGACAGTGGTAAGCTCAAATAATGGTTCCATCCAGTGTGGAGCAGGCTACGGCCTAGCCAACGCCTTGTCTGAGTCCCAAATTAGATAGACAGGAATGCTGATGCTGTGCATGTTGAAAATATGTGGGCCGGCTCCGTTGATCAAACGTGCCTCCAATCCACACACCACCCGGCCTTAATCATTCTGGTTTATACCGGGTATGGGGTATGTGGGTGGTGCGGCGCAAGCCACCCATGATCTTCCTGCAGGTGCAGGCGTTCTGTGGCCCTCCTATGGAGGTCACGGTGACAGGCAACCCCGGAACCGGATGGTGCCAAGCATATAGATGACACAACCAGCAAGATAAATTTTTGCAGGAACCATGTTCTCTGGAAAAAAGCGGTCCTATAAAAAGCCTTTTTGCATTGGGGCCTTACTAATTTTATCGGTAAAACTGTTGAGAATCCCATGGCGATTTGTGAAGCAAAGTTCTTACAACAGAGTACGAAACCCAGCAAATTTAAAAATGAACTTGAACGAAGTCAATCTCAGTTTGTAGGAAGGAGAGTACATTCTTCAAACGTAGAGAAGGTGCACTGCAAAGTTCACGCATGGATAGATTGAGCTACTTTAGATTTTTCAGTCATCTGAAGCTTGCTCTGAAGCTTCGTACCGCATCGCTGGAAACAAGAAAGCTCATACAATAGGAGTATATCTTATCAAAATTTGCATACTTGATGTGGTTATGCGCAACCTGCAAAACAGATAAGTATTATTTCGCTTTCTGACAGCGCCATCAAAAGTCGCATCGATGGTAAGCGCAAGATTATTCCGGTTACGTTGGTAACTGAAACAAAGTCGTTCTTTCTTCGCACTACAGTTGGATGAATCGACCGAAGTTGCATCTTGTTCCGAGCTGCTTGTTTGTGTTCGGTATATAAAAGGTGACCATTTCGAAGAAGAGTACTGGTTCTCTGAATCAGTGAGCATCAGTACATGTGGCGAAGACGTCTTTCGAACAAAGAAGAATTTGTCGAAGAGGAGCTGCAGTGGTCGAAGTTGGTGGCTATCTGTAAAGACGGAGCACCGTCAATGTTAAGTGTTCGTTCCAGATTCAAAACATTACTCAAACAATTTGCGCCGCACGCTACTTTTAGCCACTGCATTGTACATCGATATGCTTTCGCAGTGAAAACTCTTCCAGCTGCTTTGCTGGACGCGTTAACCAAGGTAGTGAAAATAGTAAATGTCATCCGCGGTAGTGCGACTTATACATGTGTTTTCAAAGAGTTGTGCAATGAGGTTGGAGGCAAATTCGGCGTGTTATTATTCCACACACGGAAGCACATTGGTTATCACGGGCAAGGTGCTGTACAGAGTGCTCGCGCTTCGAGAAGAAATTGCTGTGCTTTTGGAAAGGAAAGAATTGCATAAGGATAAGGAGAACGGTATATGCCATAAGAACAGACAATGTATTTATTTCTAAGCTGTCATAGCTTGAGGAATTCTTAAAAGAAATAAGTATCCTTAGCCTCAGTTTGCAAGAAAATATGACGAATATTTCAATAATTCAGGATAGGTGTTACTTTTCTTCACAAATTGCTGCTTTACCAACACAGAGCCGGTGTCGACAACTTACCGATTTTCTATGAACTAACAATAGTGCATGTTGGAAGAAAAGTGCACATTCGTAAATCAAATAACTCTCCAATTGTTATAAGTGGTACATTCTATCAGCAAATATTTCCGCCAAGTAAATCTTGGGTTCTAATACCCTTTCAGTGGATGAAGGAATACTTCCAGATATTTTAGGGAGTTGCCTGTACCGGGAGCCCGGAGCGATTCGAAAAGACAGATCGAGTTGCAGGGAAACTTTTATTGGTACAGTAAAAGATTCCCTGTTATCTAGCTATAAAGGAACGACACCGTTGACGCTCTAGCTAGGGGAACGGAGCATGCACAGCACACAGGGTAGTCGCGAGTTGCAACCGAAACGAGCGCCAAGCAAAAATGGCGATGAGCAAGTCAAGCATTCGAACTCAGCAATCAGTTCAACAAACCACACCGGTTGCCTAGGTGTACAATGAAATAATTTTAGTTAGAATTTTACACAGGCAAACCGGGGAATCTCCAGACTGCTACATAGCCCTCTCCCAGAAGGGACTGTGTAAGCAGTCCTTCGATCTACGTGAGGACTGTCCGTCGCGGGCCAGCCTTCTGCGAGACCAGGTTGTGAAACCTGATGCAGCTGCTGGGGGAGAACCATGCAATCGGACCCTAGCGGGCTCCCACCCGTGTCCTCCCTACGGTGTCGAAACGGTAAAAAACTGTTTGTGGGGGACAGTTAGTAAAGTTCACGTAGGCGGTTGAGCAGGAAGTTCGTTCCACTTCCAGTTGACGTGCGGGGATCCAGCGAAAAGTGAAACCGAGGTGCAACCAACTGGCGGTGTATATGGAAAGCAAAATGAAAAAGCAGCGTAAATGCATAGCAATACACAAAAGAGTGCAAAGCGAAAAACGTGCAAAGCTGTTTTTGGGTTTTCAAAAGGTTTTGCTCTTTTTTGGTAATTTCAAAACGTTTTGATCTATTTTGTGGATTTTCAAAAACGTTTGGTAAGAGCAGAAAATTTCAGAGGCACGTTCTATGTAAAATAGTGAGTGCTAACGAAGTCCGAAAACGAACTGGAGGTTTGAGCTTCCTACCGCGTCGATTGATAGTAGGGCGAGTAGGAGTGCTGTCGGTTGAGGTTGTCGGTTCTGCTGGAGCGAACTGACTCGTCTGAGGTTGCGGTGCGAGCTGTGATGGCGCAGGCTGTGAAGGTGCTTGCTGCACCGAAGAGTCAGACTTGTCGAGGAATGCTGGCTTGAGTCGATCGACGTTGGTCGTCTCAGTCTTACCATTGTAGTCAATGGTAAACGTCTTGTCGCTTCTGCGTACGACACGGTACGGACCAGAATAAGGAGGTTGAAGTGGCCGGCGTACGCTGTCAGTGCGAACGAACACGTGCGTGCAAGTAGTTAAGCGTTCGTCCACGTTGGTACGCAAGCTCTGTGCTCTGGGTTGCACAGGCTGAAGCTGTCGCATGTGATGAGATAGGCGAGCTGCGTAGTCGCCATAGTCGAAGGTTGTTGGCGCTTTTGGTGAGACAAGTTCACCAGGTAAGCGTTGTGTGCATCCAAAGACTAGCGACGATGGAGTGGCGTGCAAATCCGCTTTAATCGTGTTTCTTATGCCTAAGAGAACGAGCGGAAGTGCTTCGTGCCAGGATGTGCTAGATTGGGCACAGAGTGATGCTTTCAGTTGCCGGTGGAACCTTTCTACCATCCCATTAGCTGCGGGATGGTATGCGGTGGTTCGGTTATGTTGGCAACCAAGAACGTTGAGCAGTTTGCTGAAGGATCCGTCAAAGTGTGATCCTCTGTCAGTGATGACTACGCTTGGGCAACCGAATCGAGCTACCCAGCGTTCTAGGAAAGCTTGCGCAACTGTCTCAGATGAGCAGTTGACTATCGGAATCGCCTCTGGCCAACGGGTGAATCGGTCGACACAAGTGAGGAGGTACACGTAGCCTTTGCATGGAGGCAAAGGTCCGACCAGGTCGACATGGACGTGTGCAAAACGAGAGTCAGGAGCGGGAAAGACGCCAAGTGGGCTTTTGGTGTGTCTGTAGACCTTGGCGCGCTGACACTCTAAGCATGCGCGTGCCCAAAGGCGGACATCGCGATTGACGTTGGGCCATACGAAGCGTTCCGTTACGAGCTTCTGCGAAGCACGTATGCCGGGATGAGACAGGTTGTGTAAAGCGTTGAAAACTAGTCGACGCATCGAAGTAAGAACTACGGGTCGGGGAGAAGTTTGTGAGACGTCACAAAGAATGGTCCCCTCAGATGAAGCTAGTGGAACTTCGCGTAGTTTCAACGAGGTGTTGCGTCGTAGCTTGTCTATGTCGGGATCAGCTTGTTGGGCAGCAGCCATAGCGGCTAGATCAATGTTGGTGCCAGGCGATAAGCTGATCTGCTGAATGCGTGAAAGCGCATTCGCAACGGGATTGAGAGCACCTGAGACATGTCGTACGTCTGTCGTAAACTGAGAAACGTAGTCTAGGTGTCTAGTTTCCCGCGGAGAATACTTGTCCGTTGCGCTATTGATTGCATAGATCAATGGCTTGTGGTCAGTGAAGACTGTAAAATGTCGACCTTCGAGATAGTGACGGAAATGTCTGATACCTAGGTAAATAGCTAACAGTTCCCTACCGAAGGTGCTGTAACGCGATTCGGCAGGTTGTAAACATTTCGAGAAGAAACCTAGAGGTATCCATCGATGGTCGATGAGTTGTTGAAGAACTGCACCGACGGCAGTGTCGGATGCGTCAGTTGTCAGGGAGAGTGGTGCACATGTGTCTGGATGGGCGAGAAGCGCTATGTTGGAGATAGCGTCTTTGAGCTTCTCAAAAGACAGTCTAGCGTCGTCTGCAAAATGAAAAGACCGTTGTTTACCGCGGAGCAAGTCAGTCATTGGTTGAACAATGCTCGCGCAGTTAGGAATAAAGCGTCTATAATAGTTGACCAGGCCAAGGAATCGACGTAACTGTTTGAAGGAACTGGGAGCAGGATAGTCCTTCAGTGCCTGGATTTTGTCTGGCAGAGCTTCGATACCAGAGGCGGATATGCGGTGGCCAAGAAAGTCGATGGAGCTTTGGCCAAGCTCGCATTTATCGGGGTTGACGGTAACCCCATGCTGTGTTAAGCGTTGAAAGAGAGCGTCGAAGTGATGAAGATGTTCCTCGTCAGAAGAGCTCGCGATGAGAATGTCATCTAGATAAGGATAAACGCCTTCGAGTCCTCGCGTTACCTCATGAATGAAACGCTGAAAAGTTTGGACAGCGTTGCTGAGGCCGAAAGGCATTCTGAGGTACTCGAATAGGCCGAATGGCGTGATGACTGCTGTTTTAGCAATGTCGTCTGGCGCGACAGGTATCTGATGGTAGGCGCGAACTAGGTCGACTTTGCTAAAGATAGACTTACCAGCTAGAGCTGAGGTCAAGTCGTGCATGTGCGGAATGGGGTATTTATCCGGGACGGTAACTTTGTTAAGTGCCCTGTAGTCACCACAGGGGCGCCAGTCACCGGATTTCTTCGGTACCATGTGTAATGGTGATGCCCATGGACTTTTGGACGGACGGATTATTCCCAGTTCGAGCATTTGCTCGAATTCCGCCTTAGCAGCTTTGAACTTGTCCGGAGCTAGTCTGCGAGGGCGGGCCGAAACAGGTGGGCCCTTAGTGCAAATGTGATGCATGACGTTTGATGTTACAGGAGGCAAGTCGTTCAGTACGCGAACGAGTTTAGGATGCTTGTTGAAAAGTTCTATAAAAGGTTGTGAAGCTTGAGGTAGGACACGAATGGGAGTGATAGCAGCCACGTTGGCGCTAGTCCCGATAACACTGAGCTGTGTCCTGGAGTCGATAAGTTTCTTCCTTTTAGCGTCGACGATGAGGTCGAAGCGTTGAAGAAAGTCTATGCCTATGATGGCGAAAAGCACGGCAGCGATTATGAAAGGCCAGCGAAAGGTTCGCCGGAGGCCTAAATTGAGCATTAGCAGTCTTTCGTCGAAAGTTGCGATTGGTGTGCCATTGGCGGCACGCAGCTTGGTCGGCGATGGTGAGACGACCTCTTCTGGGCTACGGGGTATAACGCTAACTTCGGCTTCTGTGTCGACTAGAAACTCGGTGCCAGAAGTTAAATCCCTAACGCGGATGAGGCGACTTTGGTGTTGGCCGGTCGCGTCCATCGCCGTTACGGCGAAGTTGCAAGACTTTACACATTTATGAGCTGCGGTACCAAAACGCTGATGGTACCAACAGCTAGCCTGCCTGTTGCTAGACTTAGAACGTTTGAAGGGCGATTTTGAGCGGCTATGACGACGACGGTTCATAGTAAGCTGTTGAACCTGGCGACTAAGTGTCGCAGCTTGTGTTTGCAGGGCTTCTATAGTTGACTGTAAGCCAGTGATAGAAGTGCCCTGGGACGCGACGGCATTGATCTTGCTGGCGTCGGCTTGTGGCTGTGATCGCTCAATAACTCGATCCGCTAAATCTGCTAGTTGAGTGAGCGAAACGGAGCTCACTGTAGCGAGAACCGCTTGCGTGTTTTTCGGTAGCCGCTGTAGCCATAGTTCGCGAAGTAGCGTCCCGTCCATGGTTGAGGAACCAAGGAGTTGCTGCATCTCTCGTAGCAGGGTTGAGGGCAGTTTGTCACCCAGCTGCAGATCCCTGAAAAGCTGCTGCAGGCGAAATTTCTCAGAAGGCATAACACGCTTAATCGTGGCCTCCTTGAGAGTTTCATAGCGGTTTTCGGTCTGAGAAATGATAACGTCACGAACCTGCATTGATATCTCCTTGGGAAGATAGGACAGGAGCTTGCTATACTTCGCGCAGTCGGAAGTGATTCTGTGGTTGTAAAACAGCCTCAAAATGAGAGAACCACAAAAGAGGATTCATGTCCCAAAAAGGTGGCACAGAGAGAGATACAACGCTTAGCAGAGACTACCTTAGGGTCTACAGATTCCATGGCTTAAAAATAACGCAAAAAATAGGCTACCGTATGCAAAAATAAACCGCAAAATATGAAAAATAAATGGAATGAGCTCACCGGAGAAAAGTTTGAAATATCCGGCGCTGAGATTGTTCCAGAGTCAGGGTCACCAATTTAGGGAGTAGCCTGTACCGGGAGCCCGGAGCGATTCGAAAAGACAAACCGAGTTGCAGGAAAACTTTTATTGGTACAGTAAAATATTCCCTGTTATCTAGCTATAAATGAACGACACCGTGGACGCTCTAGCTAGGGGAATGGAGCAAACACAGCACACAAGGCAGTCGCGAGTTGCAACCGAAACGAGCGCCAAGCAAAAATGGCGATGAGCAAGTCAAGCATTCGAACTCAGCAATCAGTTCAACAAACCACACCGGTTGCCTAGGTGTACAATGAAATAATTTTAGTTAGAATTTTACACAGGCAAACCGGGGAATCTCCAGACTGCTACAATACTGAAATTGAAGCTAAAGCACAATTTCTTAAACTTCGCGAAGACAACACATGGTAAGGAAATATCCAAAAATACAACAAGTAACATCTTGGACGAAGATTGGTGGCGAGTATCCAACGTTATCGGAAAAAGCCCTGAGAATCCTGATCTCATTTGACATAAGTTATAGGTGCGAAAGTGGATTTTCGACATCCGTGACAATGAAAACAAAAGCACGGAACCGAATGAACTTGGAGCGAGACTTACGATGTGCATCAGCCGGAACCGCACCAAATATATCAGATATTGTAAGAAGTAAACAAAATCAACCGTCTCATTAACGTACACCACCTCTTGCCCAAAATGTTTTTAATTGAGTGATATAGTAATCAAAACTGGCATTCATCCTCCGTAATTAAAAGCAAAAAATGTAATAGCAAATCTGCGTTTTAAACTAGTATTTTGGGGTAAGTTTTTATAGGGAACCCGCTTTGTGGGCACCAGCATGAAAAAGGTTGAGAACCAATGTTTTACGCCATAGCGGTAAGTCTAACTACTTCTAGGAAAACCTGTAACAACGTGAAATTATTGCAATATCAGACATTTCGCGGGAGATTGTTATTTCCAACACCCTCGTGTATTCTGTGTTTCAAGTTTGATCACAACAATGGTCTTTTACAACTGGCTGGTCTCGCAGATCTCACTGCCAAGCAGCGGCTTTGGTGAACAACCACCGCCAAACCCCTGAGCCCATCAGGAGAATACTGTGTGACTTGCTCCCAGAAATAAACCCCATGGTTAGAATCCTATTTGTTTGGATTGTACAGGAACAGAGAAAGAGAGAGCAGGGATTGGATTTGGACCCGAGAAGTAGAAACGTTCAATGGTCATCTTCCCTATCACACCACCCAGATCTGCAGGCAACATTCATCACTATGATCAGGTACTAAGTTTTGGGCCTTTACAGTACCTGTAGTGTAACTAGAATGTGACACAAAATCTCAAGTTGAACCGGGAGTTATCTTGGAGCAGACCACAGTAAGTTCGATTACTGGGAGTGTATCCGAAATGGTGACAGAAGCGAGCCTCATTCACCCGGGAGCAAATGTAGCATTGAGCTTCCACACATGTCAATAGCATGCGCAATCTCTCACACGAGCCGAGACTGAAATGCTTGGCAGTATTGAGCGGATGTTATCGGCCATTAAAGTATGACCTCGTATTGGATTAACTGATCCTGCAATCCAAATCAGGTGTGTAGCTCTGCTGAACTACAGTTGTAGCCTCTAACTGAGAGACCACATTTTGAACCTTTGAATGTTACAGAAATTCCTCCTAAGACGCACTCTCCAAATCTATCTTTTTCACCATATTTAAGTGATGGTCGGACGATGCAAGTGGTTAGCTACACTTTGATACTTAGCATTGTCTTCCCGTTTCACATCGAGAGCAAAAGCTATGGCTTTACTAGTCGCCAGTCTGCCTGCATTGATGGAGATTCCGACCGAGCTCAGTTGAATGCGACTTCCGACAGCATAATCTCCTCCCCGAACTTTGGAGATCTACGATAGTCCCTTAACAGTCTAGGGGCAAGTTCCAATTTGTTGAAATTGATCTAAATATGAACACCCTGTGTTAACAAATGTTCTCTAGACATCATATCGATGTTTCAAGCTACCAAAGATGGTGTTGTGCCAGCATATTAAAAGAACGACGTAGTTGCCCTTCGTTACAAAGCAGGCTGTTTACGAGAAGAGCAAGTGCCGTCCAATCAACCATACTTCAATCCCCCCTAAGATGACGGAGTGTCACATCTAGTCCAAAAATGTCAACTTTAATTATGTGAAATCTTATTAACACCACACGACACGGTTTCCTAAGTTCGCGATCCTGTATAACATGTCAAATGGACTTCCACAATCCTCTGATTAATTCGCATGACTACGGTTCAGCAGCAATAGTCTCCTAAGTTGACGCGTAAAAAGCATTTGATAATGTTCTACATGCTGACCCCTTAGCCAAACTAACTGCACATGGCATAGGCAACCCGCTGTTTTCGTGGTTTGGTTCTTACCTCACGAACAGAACCCAGATTGTTCAGGTTCAAGATGAAACGAACACGTCTGAGCTAGGCACTAGTGGTTTGATACAAAGCAGTTTCCAGAGCTGTTAATTATTTCTATAGTATGAAAATGATAATCTTGAAACCTTTATATGTGGCAAACCTTTTCTATTTGCCGATGACATAGAAATTATTTAGACTTTCAAACCTACTGGTGATGATGTTATTCTCAGCAAAATCCAACGTGAGCTACATACGTTTGACTCGCGGTGTTTCGAGTGGAAGATGTCAATCTCCGTAACCTGTAGATATGAAATCACACAGGGTTTACTTATTAATGACGGCAAACCACTCTCACTGCCATATCATAAGTGACCTAGGGATACACTACTCGAACACCTATAACTTCGCTGAGCACACCGGAGCATCGGGCTGTTTTCCAGGACAGAAACTTTGTAGGAATCAATTAATGCCATGCAGAAGATACAAACGAGTCCATTACTAGATAACGGCTAGCTATTCTACTACAATTCCAGAGTGAGTGATCGTATAGCATCAGAGCGACTGCAACGGTCATTTACTAAACATCTTTTGGGCTGTTTCTATTCATTATTATATATGGATCGATGCAGTACCATACAACTTGATCCATTATGGCTGCGCCGAATGAAAATAAAATTGGTTGTCTTTTTTGATGTCCATACATACCTGAAATCCTGTAATTCATCTAAAAGACCCGGTAAAGAGA